ACATTCAGCCGGGACCCAAACTTTGCCAGGGCCACCCCGCTGCCGCGCCGCACTGTGTTTTCCGTTCTGGCATTCGCCGCTCGGCTGAAACTCCTTGAAACGCCCCAACCCCACGGGCACTGTTCTCAGAACAGCACTTCCAGGCTCTGCCTTTCCTGCTCCACATTGCAGACCAGTTTGGGGGTTCAGAGCCTCCTCGTTGTGTCCAAGAAGAATCAAGCTGAGCGCCTGGATTTTTGTTCTTCCTTTTCCTGCTCGATGAAGGGCTCCGAGCCTGCTGGCCCGCCTGCATTTCCTAACCAGTTAACTCAGTCTTAAAGAGTATTTATTCCTACAGACCACGCCGTGTCCCTACTCAGGGCATCACAAGCACAACAATTGCAAAGGGAGATGAGAACTGGGGCTCAGGCGTGCGGTCTTGCCCCGTGGCAGCAGCGGTGCTGCGGGCAAAGGAACAAAGTCAAGAGGAAAAAAAGGGGATTCGTTTCCAAGGCACGGAGGGCGTCGGAGCACCCAGCTGGTTCAAGCCCTCTCCGTTCCCGAGTAGGCAGCAGAGGAACTTCATGACAGGCGGGTGTTTTTCCAAACTCGGGAAACGTCTGGGCCAATAAGCCAGGATTTCCTTTCAATCAGCTCCGAGAATTCGATCGGCGCTGTTTGACGTAAAATAACTGGTTTGGAGCCAAGGACTGGTTCCAAGCTATCTCCAAAGCTATTTGTGTTTTTCTTCTCTGTGCCTTATTGCAGCTCTTTTGCTTTTCCTTCCCACCGTTTATCTTTCACACCACCGAGCCTTGCCTGTACTTCCCCTTCGGCTGTGTGGTTCGGAGTTTTCTCCTTTACTGTTATTTTTGACTTCCATCCAAGCTTTGTACGATATTAATAGCTATTTCACAGAATCGTGATCTTCATCAAACCAGTCCTAATATTAGTAGGAGAAAGAGCCAAGAGCTGAGGCCTGAGGGGCTTGAGCTCTGGGTTTTGCCTCCGTTCCACAGCCCAGCTCAGCCTCTGCCCCAGGGAGTGGGAATAGCTGTCACCCAACATCCTGGCCACGACAGGCAGCGGAGCAGCAGCTCGTGGAAACCAAAGCACACAGAGAAGATGCTTACGTGAGGATTCAAGAATTAGAACTTATTGGCAGTCTAATTAACGCCTCAGTCTAATCAAGATGTAGCAATCACTTACCATTCATCCAGCTAGAGCAGCGCTCACAACTAACATCTAGAGTACTCAGTTTCTATTAAAGGTTTTCAGTAAAAGCAAAAGAAAAAATAAAACTCAGTAGACAAAAGTATCTACCCCATTCCTCTGATGATAAATTCTCCCTGTTCCTGTACACTGCTGCAGTGACTCATCAGCATCCTGAGGGGGAAAATGATATTGATGAGTTTTTTTTCTTCTTCTTTGCTGGGAGGAATATGATGGTAAGTTTGATGGCTTCTTCCTCCTCAGTTTAGGGTCTGCTTGGGGCTATTTTTTAATAAATTTTCTATTACTCTCTATAGTTCAGTCTTTCTTCACAGAGCTGCAATTCCATGTTACATCCAGATACACTGTGCATCCCGTGTTTTACTTATCTTTTTCCCCTGTTACCTTTAAGGCCAATTTCTGCCCAAACTGTGTTCCTCAATAATCAGGACTGGATCACTGATGAGTTGCTAATAGCCCTGGGGCCATGACCCTCTGTCGGCACCACCTGCTCCCGAAGGAAGCACACCAGATTTCTCAGGGGCACAGCCATCGTACCTCAGTTACACAAAACTCTGCAAATTCAGCTGCTAAAAATCAATTAGGTAACAGCCAGCTGGTTGCCAGGCAGTTGCTGCTGCAGGTAAACAAACTTACAGCAAAGTTTCAGGCAGGTCAGGGCAGATCCAGAGAAAACCAGTCCAACGAGCCCCAGTCCAAGGGCTCATCGTATGGAGCCTTTGACCTTTTAACGATAACGGCGGTGCCGTATTTACATTTCGCAGCCCAGTTTCCTTCTCGTTCTCCCCTTAGCCCTGGCACTTTCCAAAAGCTTCAGTGTTAAAAATGTCCCTTCCAGTGGGGAGGACCCCAGGGCTGAGTTCAGATCCTGCTGCTCTGAGCGCCGGGTTTCCTTTCCCGTTTCTCCAGACCTCAGTTCCAATTTGTGAAATGAAGGTAGTAGCTTTAAACCAGGATATTTTCTTTCCTGGTTTAAGCTCTTCTCTTTCAGTTTTGTTTCCTCCGAGACAAATTGTTTAATCAGACCCTACCCAGAAGGAAGTTCTTTCTCTATTTAAGGATCAGTCAATAAATCACAGACTCCATACTGCCCAGTATCTGCTGCAGCGTGGAAGAGGCACGCAGCCCACGCCATCGCTCCCGAAAGGAGGTAAGTGCAGAGCATCCCTTCTTGGAGCAGCTCCCAAGGAGAGCGGCTTTGGGCTGACAAGGCTTGGCACAACGTCCTTGTTCAGAACCACAGAAGGGTTAAGGCTGGACAGGACCTCTGGAGGTCACCGTGTCCAACCCCCTGCTCAAGCAGGGCCACCTCGAGAAGGGTGCCCAGGACCATGTCCAGATGGCTTTGGAATGTCTCCAAGGATGGAGACTCCACAACCTTTCTGGGCAATCTCTGCCAGTGCTCTATCATCCTCGCAGTTAAGAGGAGAAAAGTTTCCTGATGTCCAGATGGACTCTCATGAGTTTTGGTTTGTGCCCACTGCTTCTTGTCCTGGCACAGGGCATCGCTGAGAAAAGCCCAGCTCTGCCCTCTTTGCACCCTCCCTTCGGGTATTTGCATCTGCAGATAAGACCCCTCCGAGCCTCCTCTTCTCCAGGCTGGAGAGCTCCAGCTCTCTCAGCCTTCCCTCAGACAAGAGATGCTCCAGTTCCACGCATCTTCTGCAGCACCTCATGGGGATGATGACCGCCGTGATCAGAACTAAGTGCTGATTGGGGCAGCGTGAGAAATTAACACCTTCCAATTATTAGAATTCTATCGTTTGCAATAAATAAGGTGTCGGCTTCCTCCACAAGATCACCAGCTGCTGAGGGGTCTTGCTGAGGCTCAAGCACTTGCGTGCAGGACAGACGGATGGTCCTGACCTGTCCAGTTGCATTAGGTGCAAACGTATGGATCTGGCTGCTGATTAAAGAGCACATCATGGTGATCAGACCCACACCGATCCTTTGGAGCGTGCGCGTGCTCGCCCTGCCTGAACACAAACTGGGGGCTTGCTGTCTTGCACTGCTGCCCCCAAAATGGCCTGCCACGAACCCCCCCCCTTCTTCACAGCTTTCACCCTCCGCTGCCCCAGGCTCACGTCAGGTGCAGCTCTGGCTCTGCAACATCCTGTCCACTTGCCCACCCCACTGTGGGACTTGTGTCCTTCCCTGCAGACGCAGGTGGGCACACTCGCCCCCTCCCAGCCACATTTCCAAGCACTGGTAGGGCCACCTCTGTGCCCAGCGGTAAGCAAGTGGGGACAGGGCTTGCTAGGGTGTCCCCAGGCCCCATCTGTCCCCATAGACTGGGGCCATGGGGACCAGGGCAGGCGTCCCCCAGCAGGTCCCGCTGCAAATCCCCCAGTTTCTGCTCCAAGAAGGAACAGGCAGGGACCCAGTTTAGGAGAGAATGTTCCAAGAAAAGGACCAAGGCAAGTGCATCCAAGACACAGGATTTGGGGAAGGGGAACATGCCTTAGTGCCTCCTTCATGCACATCTGGCGTGCATGAAAACACCAGAGGCCAGAAACACCCACCTGTCCTGAGGCCCCAGCCCCACCAGGGAAGGGGAGCAGCAACCCCCAGCTGCCCCATCTCCTGCAGCGGGTCAGAGCTAAGGTGCAAACATGTCAAGAAAGGACATCACCCTCCAGATCCTGCAACCAAGGGGAAGAGACACAACCCAGACCACCACATTCAGCCCAGGATATTTCACTTCCTGATACAACACTGGGGACCAAAACTCTTCTTCTTCCTCCTCTGGATCCCTGAGCCACAGCCCAGTGCACAGTCCTGCACCCCAGCAGCAAAGACAGACGGGTTCATCAGTCCTTGGAGCAGGAGCTACTCGGAGCACAGCAGCTCAGCCTCCTGAAACGCCACACAGGCCCTGGTTAAAACTCTACAGCACAAGTAAAAAGCATTAGCCAGAGAACAGAGTCATAGGTCACATAGAACATTATTATTTACTTAACTGTACAGGTCAGGACAGTTTTCCAGAGCTCAATAAAAGCAGCCACTTTATAAACTTCTGTACACATTCCATGAGTCTTTCCACACAGCAGTGGGCAAGGTGACGTATCCCAGTTTGGGAAAACAGGGGCTCCCAAAAGCAAGGGTGCTATTAAAGTGCCCTCCCTCACCCCGCTCACCGGTGTGAGCTGCACTAGTAATTTAAATTACTCAGGCATCCTTTAGGTTTGCATCTACAGACAGTCCTCTACGAAATTTTCCCCTCGTAAACACAGTTTCAGGAAACGTTTGTTTGGAAAAAGGCACAGTCTCTCCAGCAGTTAATTAACCAGAGCTAATTAACCAGAGCATCTTCTGCCCATCAGACAAACCATCCTCAGGATGGCAGCCGCACAACCGCGGCGCAAGGCGGGAACGTGAGACTGGATTCTGACAAAGCTCAACTGCGGTCTCACTGCTGCGTGAAGAACGACCTATGGAGCTTTCAAAAATAAAAATAAAACCAAAACCCACTTACAATCCTTCTATGACTGTTCCACTTCATATGGGTAGAAGACTACTTGCTATTGAAAAGTGTCAGTGAGTTCCTCCAGCAGTTTTTTTTTTTATTAACGCTTTGAACAAATCCTGCTAGTTACTTTCTTCACCAATATTAAATTCAGCACAGCGTTAGATAATAAAAATACATTGCACAATAAAATCCCATTAAAAGTCTCAGCTAAGCTGAAAGATAAAAGGAAAAAGGTCTTAATTAAGGTCTGAAGTCGGAGAACACTTGCGTTTCTTGTACTCATTGGTGTGCAAACGCCAGGACGACTCCCAGGTCCGCTTCACTTCAGCATGGGAGAGGCAAAGAAGTTGCCCTGATGCCCAAGCTGGGTTGTTGACTTGCTTTTGCTCCCAAATCTAGTTCAAGAGAAGTAGAAAAATATCAGGTTTGGATCTGGGATCTAGAGGTCTAACACTCTCAGGGGTCACTCACCCACCTCCCAAACAGAGTGTTCTTCTCCCCACCATAAGATGATGCTCGTTAACCAGTATGCAGCTCGCACCGTTACTACAGCACCGATTAAGGGAGTAGTAAATCCAGGCTGCTCCCAGAACTGGGTCCAAAAGTCTATTCTTAGTTCTCCACAAACACCCAAACCACCTGCAGTCACCTCAATGTCTCCATGGTAACACCATTAGCACTTACTTGGGGGTGGTTTTGCTGAAGGTAGACCGGACCCTCTGGGACAGGGAGCTGGATGACGGCGTCTTGGAGAGCTGCTGCTCCGGAGTAGTGAGAGGTCCAAGCATACTCACTGTCAAAAGAGAGGCAGCCAAGTGAGCAACATGAGGACAGCTGAAGTTTTCATTGCCATGCAAGGAACAGAGATATTCCCTAGCATCTGTCAAAAACACTAGTCAAATCTGGTATTTCCTGGCACGCTTTTCTTCCCTCTTCCTCCATAAAGCATGCAGGAATGGCGAGCTCCAACAGCCGCACAGGCAGCTTTGATTGAGGGCCATTATTTCCAATGCCCAGCTGCCCAGTCAACAGAGCAGCACCCAGGGGTTACCTTTGACATCTGGTGTCTGTGGAGTGGAGAAGGCATTGGTGTTCTCGATTACATGCGCTGGGTCAATGTTTTCTTGCTCCACCATCATCAGCTGGCTCCAGTAGTCCGTAGGCAGCAGCAGAAGTCGCTCCACTACCTGGAGACACCCATGAGAGATGGTACAAAGCAGCACAAAGCTGTGGCACGCTGACACCAGACAGGCATCGCCTCAGCTCCCTCCAGAAACTCATTTGAATTCTTTAAACAGGACACGTTCCCCCAGGTCAGGTCTTTCTGCTGACCTACCTTGGGCTGCCGCTTGGTGTCTTGCAGGAGCGTCATAGGGTCGGGATCAGGTACCGCATGGGCAACTATTGTGGGGCCAAAGACTTTGGCCAAGTTGGGAATGTCCATTTTAGTCTCCGGGCTCTGAGCCACCCTATATTAAAAAATAAATTACTAAGAAAGAGAACATAGCTTCTCCACTTCACTTGCATACAACTCTCCCATCCCACATACACTTCAGCCTCTGGATCCTCAGGTCTTTTCCAAAATGAAGACTTTATGCTCACAAGCAGTAACAAAAGCCAATTAGATGGTGTCACAACGTTGCACCAGTGGCAACATCCCCCTTGTAGAACTACCAGTCCATTTGGCCATACCTCTGCAGGTGGATCATGAGGAAAGCCAGGGTGTCCCTGTTGGCCTGAGGAAGTTCACCAACTGCTTGGTACATAGCAGCAATGCTGTTGTCCTCATCTGAGATTTCTGGGGGAAAAAAAAGTTTAGGCCTCAGAAAGGGGTCCCAGAGGCACCGCTGTAATAGTTCCCTCACAGCAACAGCTAGCCCGAGAAACAAGGAAGCCAGAAGCTTCACATGCCATTGTAATAATTTTGCACTCTGCCCAAGCACTAGAACTTGTTTCTTTCCTCTTCCAGAAGAGTACAGCAGAAGAAAGATCCTCCCAGCATATTGCACATCATGAACACAGCTACAAGCATGAGGCCTCCATGGAGCACTGAGGTCTGCCAGCTCACACAACAGCTGAACCTGCGACCATCAAGCCTAG